ACAGTCAATTTGATTGAAAAACGTCCTCAAAATATAAATTTTTGGAAGGAATCGTAATATTGAGCCTACCCCAAAAATTAGACCAATATTGAGCATTTTTAATATGAAGATGTGTTACCCACTAAGAACACAAAATAGGAATTTTGTTGAAAAACATTGGTTCCTTATGCCCTAAGATACCGTTATATGGGAGCTTCCCTAAGACCTGAACCCTATATTAATACTTTTGTAGGAAGATTTACTACCCAATGAGTATCTTAAATACTAAATTACAACCAATTTGGTTGAAAATCGAGATCAAGCTCGTCATAATACCAGATTTTGGGAGGTGGCTTTATATGGGCGCTATCATAAAAAGTGAATCAATATTTATAACTTTTTTGTAGGAAGATTTAAAACCCGAAGAGAACCCAATGTACCAAATTCTAGACAATTCGAATGAAAAACGTGCCCAAAATCGGCAAAATATCGATATATATGTGGTTCCGTAATATGGGAGCTACCCTAAAAAAATGAAACAATATTTATAAATATTTTTGTAGGGATATGTATTACCTTATGAGAACCTAAAATATGAAATTTACAACCAAATCCATTCAAAAACGAGCCAAAAATCCGCAAAATATCGAAAATCGGGAGGTACCATTATGTGGGTGCTACCCTAAAAAATTGAGCTATATTCCTAATTTTTTGTAAATCGCTTTAGTACCCAATGTGAACCCAAAATATCTAATTACAACCAAAACGGTTTATAAACGTGCCCAAAATCCACAAATATCGAAATTCGGTAGGTACCGTTATATGGGAGCTACCCTGAAATTTATGTCAATATTAATAATTTTTGGTAGAGATATTTTCTACCCAATGAGAATCCAATGTACCAAATTACAGCCAATTTGGTTGAAAAACATGTCAAAAATCCGCAAATTATCGAAATTCGGGAGGTTCCGTTATGTGGGCTCTACCCTAAAAAATAACCAATATTTATAATTTTTTGTAGGAAGATTTACTACCTTATGAGAAACCAAAATATCAAATTACAACCTATTTGGTTGAAAAAACATGCCCAAACTTCCCAAAATACCGAAAGTCGGAAGGATTCGTTATATGGGGCTACCCTAAAAAATGGGCCAACATTTACAATTTTATGTAGGAAGATTAACGACCCAGTGAGAACCAAAAATACTAAATAACAACCAATTTAGTAGAACAACGAGCCCAAGCTTTCCAAAATACCGAAATTTAGAAATAACCGTTATATGGGGGCTAACTTAAAATATGGACCAATATTGATTTTTTGGCAGGAAGATTTTCAACTCTCTGAGAACCCTTAATACCAAATTTCAGCTAATTTGATTGAAAATCGTACCTAAAATCCCCAAAATACCGAATAATGAGGGTACCGTTGCATGGGGTCTACCCCGATACTTGGGCCAATATAGATAATTCTTGGTAAGGAGTTTCCCAATAATAACCCAATATACAAAATTATAGCCAAATTTGGTTAAAAAACAACCTGAAATCTAAAATCCCGAATAATAATGGTGCCGCTGTATGATGGATCTACCCCAAACATATTTGCTTTAAGTCTTTCTTTTTATTTTCAAAATTGCATTTTTGTTAGCGAAAATTATAAGAAGCGGAAAAAACAAAGAACCAAAAAGAAAAAAAAAGAAACCCAAGTTGTTAACAAAAAAATCAAATTAAAAAAAATAATTAAAACAAAACAAAAAATTGGTTTATAAACTCCTAACCTCAACATGGAAACCATCGGCAGCGCCTATGCTATAATTGCGATGATAATTGTTGTAATCGTCATCATCCGGATATTCAACAATGGGTGCCGGGGACGGAGGCATTTCAATAATGGGACTGCTTAGGTCATGTGACGACTGGCCAATTCCACCGTCGTTGCCGCCCATTATCACAACGGGAGGCATGGTCAGTACGGGACGGTGATATTGGCCAGAACCAGGTGAGGGTGGTTCCAAGGGGGTTTGTTGTTGCTGTTGTTGTTGTGACTGTTGAATAATTAATGTTGGTTTAGTTTGAGAAACAGTTCGGGTAACATAATAGGTTGTGTTGCTGTTGTTGGTGGTGTTGTTAGCATTGCCAATATTGTTGTTGTTGGTGGTTGTCGTTGATGTTGTTTGATGGTGTTGCTGGGGATGTGTGGATTGTGATGTTGATGAAGGAACTGTATTATACACAGATGATGATGACAATGGCAATGATGCGGATGTGGGTGTTGGTGTATCTGGGGAGGAGGAAGTCGATCCCACCACCATTCCTGCCGTGTTATTTTGAAATGCAAACATGGGAACCTGTGTCGGGGTGGGTAATAAAACATTTTGATATTGTACCGCTTGATGTTTGGTTGAGGCAATATAATGTTGCAACATTTGTTGCTGAGGTTTCGCTGGTTGTGGCTGTTGCTGCTGTTGTTGGTGTGCTGGCGCCTGGTTACGCTGCATCTGCTGCTGATTGCTGTTGTTGTGCTGCTGATGATGATGGTGGGGACGCTGTAAAGTATTGGGTTGCGAATCCAATTGATTTAGAAAGTCAAACTCACTCAACGCGCTCTGTAACTGGTTTTAGGCCATGTATATTTTTTCGATTTATTTTCAAAGTTTAACACAAAATAGGGAGAGAGAGACAGGTGGTAGACGAAAACAAATTCATCATGACATAGGAGGAAGGAGAAACGTGGGGGAAAAATAGGCATGACATGTCATAAGATATTACAAAGTATAGGCGAGCGTAGAGTAAAATACGTTTCAATTTTCAAAAAATAAATTCGCAGATAAACGCACGTGAAGATTTCATAAAAAAATTATTTAGCAAAAAAATGAAACAGAAAAAAATCACACAAAAATTACATTAGAGACAAAACAAAAAGAAAATAAAGAAAAACAAAAAGAACGCAATGACAATTAACATAACAAAAATAATGAAGAAAGAAAAAATAGGTAAGCATGAAGAAATGATAGATAAATAAATACACAAATCCCTCCCAAGAAAACCTACTACGAAGTGTTTTTTAATCGGCGCGTAAATATTTGGAAACAGATTTCCTACCACATCCACATTGCTTACATTAAACATTTCCAGACGCAAAATGTAATTTATTTATTTATTGTTTTTTTTTTTAATTATAATTATTTGTAGAATGATTTCCATGTATGAGACCGAACGAACCAAACCTAAATGCAAAGGCAGACATTTTCTCGATGCGCATTTGTCATGATTTGAAAAATAATAAAAACATAATATTGAATTTTTACGTTTTTTGGCAAAATGAAGCTTCAACAAATCCACTGGCTTACAAAAAAAATTATTTAATAGCAAACATCTAATCGAACTTGAACCAGAAAAATAATGGCAGGTATATTTGTGGTTAGCTTTTTTGTATTTGATGAACACTGATTTCCAAACTACATTTAATAAAACAAAATTAAATAAAGGCCAGCCACCACAATCATAATTTATAATTTACAGAATATAATTTTCTTAAAAGAACATCAAAAACACCAAAAAGAAAAAAATATACTACAATAATATAAGGAGAGAGAAAAAACAACACAGTGATCTCTCTTTGCAGATGTCATAAAAACGCCAAGTGGTCAACATTGTTTTTCTATAAAAAAGTGAAAACTTTAAGTTCGTCGCATCGAATTTTCTTATTCCCTCCATCATAAAGGGGCTTTACTGTGTAAATATCAAACACTCAGGTTCGGGGCTAATATATCTAAGATTAGAGAAATTGTACCAAAAATTCCCCAAAACCCTAAAAAAGTGGACCAATATTGAACTTTGGTAGTGATTTAGTATAAAATCACCAAATGCTAAAAATACCGAACGTTGGGGTCCACCTACATGGGGTCCACGTTGAATCTTGGAAAAATATTGATATTTGTTTCTATAGAAAAAATTTGAAGTCCCCACAGGACATCTTTAGAAAAAAAACCGTAGTCCCCACAGGACTAAATTTTTTTCTGTAGAAAAAAGTAGTCCTGTGGGGACTACAAATGTTTTCCCATAGAAAAAAATAGTCCTATGGGGACTAACAATTTTTTTCTACTACTTTTCTTCTATAGAAAAAAATTCGTAGGACCTCATGACTACTTTTTTCTACAGAAACAAATTCGTAGTCGCCACAGGACTACTTTTTTTCTAAATTAGAAGGACCTCAGGACCACTTTTTCTATAGGGAAAAATCGTTGGACTATTTTTTTCTATAGAAAAAAATTATATAAAAATACTTTGTAGTCCCAAACAAATTTTTTTACTTTGTTGCTATAGAAAAAAATCGTAGGTCCTTAGGACTTTTTTTTTTTGTAAAAAACGAATACTTTTTTTCTATAGAAAAAATCGTAGGCCCACGGGGACTTCTCAGTTACACTTTTTTAAAGAAAAAACCGTAGGTACTCAGTTCTACTTTTTTCTATAACAAATTTAGGACCTCGTGACTATAAAAAAAAATCGTAGGTCCTTAGAAAAATTTTATTTATAAAAAATGAGGAACAAATCGAAGGTGTTTGTCTCACAAGAGTCCAGTAAAGTGAACTACCACTATCTTCATTTTTTACTTCTTGACAATAGAAATCACTGTGTTCATTTTTCTCTCCCATTAGAAGCTACTATAATTTCCAAGGAGAACCAGGAACTCCTCAACCAAAGTCCTTACATTGATACAAAAATATAGATAGCAAAGTAAATATAGATACAGCAGAGAGCATAGAGATTACCTGATGGACCAAGCCATAAAAAGTAACACAGAGAGAGATAGCGGAAGATATATAGTGTAAGCAATGAAAATGAATGATTGTATAGAGAGCGATAGCCACAGAGAGAGAGAGAGAGAGAGGAGAGTAATGAATGATGGTGTATAACAAGCTCATGCTTAAATTTTGGATGCTTCGTGTGACAGCGCAGAGAGATGACAGTTCAATGAAATCTTTACAGAAATGTACATCAAATTCGTTGACTAAACGACTTACCTCTTGATCCAATTTAGGTGGTGAGGTGGCTGGTACCGGTGGTGGTACCACATCTGTGGGTGTGGTCTGTTTCGAACCAGCACTTGTTGGTGGTTTGGGTATCGGATTGGGTTGCATCATTTTACCCGGTATGGTCAGATGCAAATTATTATTGGCAGCAGCTGTATTCTTTTGCTGGGGTGATGTCACCTCGGGTGGCAAAGCGGCAATACCCTGCATCGACAGCGGACGTTTACCACTCAGACCCGAAACGGAGGGATCTGGACATTCACCGGGTGTTTCAATGTGTTCGGTGCTACCCGCTTCGGCATCATATTGCATATTTTGAGCCAAAATACCAGGTGAATAGGGTTCGGGCTCCTGATCAATGGTACCCGAGGAGGGGGTACGTGAAATGGGCGATTCACTATCCCTAGTGGTAGTTGGCATTTTACCACCAGCTAATATGGTGTTCGAGGGGGCATTACGTTTCAGTAAACGTCCCCAGGTGGCCACATTGATGTTCATTTGTTTGGCACGCGGTATATTCTTGACCTGCTGTTTATTGAAAATCATTTGCTGGCGTCGCAGTTTGGGTTTCTGTGAAATCATCGGGTTCAAGAATTTAATTTCAGCGAACAGTAGACCCTGTGGTTCCAACTGCAACGCCATGCCGTGTCGTACATCATCGATAAACTCTTCCAGGCGCAAGAATTTAACAGCACACAATGAACGCCAATCACGCCAGTACACACCGATCTCCAGCTCACGAGAACGATCTAGATCAATGGAGAATCGTTGATCCCAGGCTTGTTGCGAACAAGGTTTCCATGAGGTCTGAGCCACCGTCATGTTGTCCAATTTTATCACGGCCATTATTTCCGATGATGTTTCGTCTTTGACGGAATAACTCTTCGAACTGCTACGCGAGGTGACACCCTTAACGAAACTACGCAAATCACCCGGACTAGAGTTGTTGTCTTTATCACGTCGCGAACGACCGGGTACATCTTCGAGCAGGCCTTGGCAACCCATCAGTCGGACCTCAAGTTTACCCGTTACACTGGCACAACGACCCAATGTGGAAACCTGTTGATACGGTTTGCCACCCAAGAGACCAGCATGGAAGGGCTGTAGTGAGGTGTAGTTGAAGGGTACCGGCGATGAGGCTTGCTGCACCGATTGCAGTTCACTTTTAAGCTGTTGAGCGGCCAACGATTCGGCTGGTAATTCTAGACGTCGCAAGTCTAATGAATGACACAAGAGATCAAGTTTGCGGGATGATTCCGATAGACGAGCATGGGCCTGGGGGAGATGATAAAATATGATTTAGTATATATTAAAAAATTGAATGTTTTATAATGGCGGTATTGGAAAAATACTCTTGGTTTGTTTGTCTTGTTATTCAAGGTAGCGGTACTTACTCGAACATTAGAACCTTTGGGTAATTACCTCCAAACATTATCAGTTCTACCAGATCATATAACTGAAATCGGTCGGTAGTCGGTATCAGAATTCCCAAAACCCATTTAATCATCTTCAGATTTTATTTTTTAAACAAATTGGTAGACCCTCAGGCCCTCTTTAAAAAAAATCGTTGTCACCCGGAGATAAGTCTTTTTCTATTTCCAATAGAAAAAATAAATAATATATTGAAAGACCTTGTAATATAAGTTGTCGGGATTCGACTTAGTGAGGTAAACACCGATTTTAAATTAAATGCTATATTTATTTTTTTATTGTTGGTTTTCAATATTTTTCTTAGACACTAAGCTAGGTTCTCAATGAACATTTAATTTCAATGGTTTTCCAAACATTTTCTTAAAAAATGTTTTTGTTTTTCGATTTTCAATTTGTTTGAGGTTAGATTTAGGATTCAGAATGGTAAATGCACAAAATCATGGTTAATAGGACTTCTTCAATGGTTAATGGTTTTGTATTGTTCTCTTGGCAGTGGTGGTGGTATTGTATTCAACTTCTCTCGATTTCGCTCCCTCTCATTTAGTTCTCCTTAGTACCGGTGATTCTCCCAAAGAAAATGCACGACCTCGCACCTGAAAACGTTCAGCCATCCAACGCTGACAACTTTCACAGGAACAGTTGGGATTTTTTGTTGGTCCTACATGATGACCCGGTTTACGGGCGGCCACCACCTTACCAAATTTACTGGCCTTGTCCAAATATTCGGAAGAATACCCGGGTGGAGGCAGACCTGTAGAGGCCTCACTCATGGCTGGACTTTGACGATAGGTTTGAAATAGATCTAAACGTCTTGCCGGTGTGGGAGTGGCAACGGGGAAAGTAGAGGCACTGGTTGTGGTAGGTGGAGCCTCACTGCCGCTACGTTGAAACGAGAGACCTGTGGCTTGGGGTTGTGGTGATGCATGACGACTCAGTTCGGTGGGTGTTAGAGCTGGTGTTGCGGTGGCACTTAGATTTTCACGTGTCTCACTTTTCCATCGCTGCAAACTAGGTTGATAATTCGGATAGAGTAGTGATCCTTCGATGGGTGCGGACATTGGTTGTTCGGGTGGTGGTAGGGGCAGTTCATTTTGTGGCCCAAAGAAATGTAAGAAACCGGGACGATTTTTGGTAAAATGTTGAGTTTGTTGAAATGCAGGCGATGTGGTACGTTGCTGTTGATGCATCGATGTAGGATAACTATAGAATTGATCGGTTTCCGATGTGAAATCCGATTCAGAGGGTAAGGTGTCATCACGTTGCAACCTTCTGTTATTGTTGTTATTATTATTTTCGGCAATTGTTTGTAAATGTGGATGCTGCTGATGAGGATGCATCTGGTGATGGGGCTGATGCAAAGCCATTGGATTATTTTGCGTCGATTCATCCTCCTTTGAATGACTTCTCGACCATAGGCGTTCCATTTGCCTTATCCTCAAACGATCCAAGGCATTTTCATATTCAAAACTTTCCGATTTCGTAAGAGAATAATCTTCATTATCTTCCCCGCCAGCGGCCACATCTTTCCAATGGGCATCTGTGACATCATGTCCCGCTAAAACACTGGACATGCTGCTGCAAGTATTGTCGAGTACCGTCGATCTGGTGGAACTGGGATAACCCAAGCTGGCCACATCTTCGGAAGACTGCCGTAAATATTTTTGCCTTAAATTGGCCAATTTAATGGCTCGCTGGTCACCAATATGTTTGCGGAAGAGAATATGCTTCGATTCGTTGACCTCGTCTGTGGTGCTGGACTTGGTTATACCATGGCCCAATTGTAAATCTCCTGAGATTATGGGACTTTGAGGTTCACTGGGTTTGCAGGAGGAGGAGTTCAATTCAGAAGAAGATTTTTGCTGCTGCTGTTGTTGATTAGCTCCTCCCAATCGTCGGGGTAGTGCTGCACCACTCATCCTCTGATGTCGCAAACGCATTTGTTCATTATCCAATACCGTCTGAAATGTGGAATTTGATTCCTGATCATGTCTCCGATTATCTTCAAATTCTGAGCTCGATTCCGCATCAGCATGATCTTCATCTTCCGAACCGGTACAGTAGACATCAATGTGTACGGTTCGAGGTTTTTTCTGGACATCCGCACCGGATTGTACGGTCTTGTTGGAGGCCATAAAGGCCGGCAGGGATCCCAGGGGTCCAAAGTTAGCACCCATAGACACATCTTCACCTTCGATAGAGGGTATTCGTGGCATGGAGGCCGATTTAAAAGCCTGTGGAGATTTGGGCGAGGATAAATACGAAGGCTAAAGAAACGAAGAGAGGGTGTTATTAGTTATCATATTTTTTTTATATTTTTCAGGTACCTACCATAAATGTGTTTCCCTCGTTTGCACCACTTGCATATCTGGGTGTTTGCAATAATGCCTCGGCGGTGGCTCTGCGATGATCATAGGATCTTCTCGAGTCCCGACGTTCCAATGGACTGTGTGATTGCTTGAAACGTTTGTGTTCGTATTCCTCGAAATATTTGGTTTCTGTGTCACTTGTCTGGCATACGGCATCCTTGAGGTTGAGAATTTTCCCTGTCTTAGAGACGGGTGTTTGGGGGCAAGAATCCTCGTCAAAGGACTGATTGAAAGGAGAATTTTTTATTAGAATTTTTTGTACTACCAAAAAAGGTGAACGAAGTGGAGGAGGAGGAAATGGTGGAAACACTTTTTTTGCTTGGCCTAATGTGCCTGTCCCATGTGAATGACCTATAAATGGCATCATCGGCAGCAACAAAAGCAACAACAACAACTACATCATGACGATTGGCAGTGAGTGTTTTGTGCACACGACAATGTTCCTCTCAGCGGCATCATCGTGATTCGCAAATATTTAAAAATAGCCAGTAAAGGCCGAAATTCGGACAATAAATAAACAAGACATACGGGTGCGAACACGTCCCGCTATTGTTTTAGACTAAGTGAGAATGGACATATGAATGTCGGAGTGTTATGGTGAATGATTTATTAGAACGTTATCATCACCCGAGCCAACCAAACCCATTCACCAAACCCCCCAAAAGTTATGATCAAAAGTGCGAACAAATGACCAGCCAACCACCAGGCAAAATAAAAAAAAACTTGTTGTCTTTGCAACAAAAAACATGTCCATCTCGAACCGATAGGTCAGACCAGAACCACAAATTAGTTGAAACGGAATGATGGCGTTAATTTCCTTATTAACCAAAAGTGACAGAATTAATTGGCATTTCGTGTTGGAATATAGTTCAAGAAAAAATGCCACATAATTTATTTTAGAGAGAATATTAAATAGGCGGTGCGGAACAATAAGAAAGTGACTCACGTTCATGGTGCGGTAGAACATCAAAAGAAATTTCTTAGATGAGGGAAACAAATATTATTTAAGAACTCATGAATCAAATCCCGAAATGTGACAATTAAATGGCAATCAGTTAAAGGACCAAAAAACAAATATATAAACATTCTCTTGTCATTGTTTCCTCCTCCCAACCCCTACAAATTAAAAAAAAATAACAACCTACCTTTTCGGGTAAAACAGTATAACAAGCCGTTGTGTTGAAAACAAATGGATCTGGTTCTTCTTCTCGTACAAATTGCCTTCTTACATGTGATTGATCACCCACATCCATACCGGCGTCATCTACTGCTGCAACTCCTCCCGCCTCACCATTACTTCCCGGTGGTGGTAAAAAATCTGCCACAGCCGATACAATAATATTACAGGTACTACGACATCGAGTACCATAGTAGGGTTTCCCAGAGTCAGCCGATTTTCCATCTTTTTTCGTTTTGTTGTGATGTGAGGTATTTGAACCGCTGAATGCCGAATCTCCACCACCAAATCCCGTTGTCGATGATGTTGTCGAACGAAAACTGTCCTGTTTTTGAGGTATTTTTGAAGGTTTAGTTGATGGCTGAAAATTTTGCAATTGAGTCCTCAATAAAGCGGAACACATTCTGCTACTGTTGGCAGGAGGAAATTTTTTTCAGGAAAATAAATATTGGACAATTGCGAAGTGAATTAAAAAAGTTTGAGAGAATATAAAAATTCTTTCTAAAACTGAGAAAATCCTTGAAATACCAGAAGGGATTTCTATTGGAAGGCCGCCTTGCTCGGAAGAAATCTGGTGGAAATTTTTACACCGACAACAATGGATTTTTTCTATAGGAGATCTCAGGGTATTTCTAAAGATTATTTTTAAATGGAATATTACTACACCTTTCAATATAAATCGGAAAGGACTTTTCGCATAAGATCTAAAGATCCAAATAGACTATATAGATGAGACGTGAATACGTTTTCTATTTAAAACCTGATGGAAAAATCTATGTAGGACTATCAAAGGAAGTTTTGCTACAGACGACCTCTAGGAGGTATTTTTAGAATGTCTGTAAGGCCTTCTATAAAATTTATTAAAGGAACCTTGTTAAGGAAGATCTGAAGAGATCTTATATGCAAGGGTTGGAAGATCGGGACGTTTTTCGAACATACGAAAGGCATTCGGTGGATAGCCAGCTGAGTCTTCCAAGAACCGTTCAGATGATGGACTTTTCTACGTCTTATAGAATATATTAAAGGAACCTTGTTCTGAAGAGGTTTTATATGCAACGGATGGAAGATCGGGACGATCGGGACATGAAAGGACATTCGTTGGATAGCCAACTGAGTCTTTCAAAAACCGTTCACCGGATTCCCTCTTGAGATAAATTGAAGGGACTTTTTACTGTAGAACATACCTATTAAAAATCCTCTTTTTGTAGATGGGCTGCAAAAGTTCTCTGTAGAAGATTTTTAGAGGATTTAGATTTACTTTTGCGGCTATCTATATATCATTTAGGAACTCTAAGTGGAAGACCTAAAAAAACTATCGATTGAACACATCGAGAAGTCCTGAATACGACCAAAATTGTACGTAAAAACTTTAGGACGTCTTTGTAGAATGTCTATGGGGATTTCCTATAGAATAGATTGAAAGTACTTCTCAAAGAAGACCTGAAAAGGATTTCTATAAAATGGATGGGAGACCAGAAGGGCTTTCGAATAGATGACACGAAGGACAATCATCTTTATATACAGAAAAAACCAGAAGAGAATTTCTATGAAAGACCTGTAAAGACTCTCTGTAGAAAATCTGTTAAGTCTTATAGAAGGTATTCTACTCATATTCCTATAAGAGATCTGAAAAGCCATATGAAGTCCCGTGAAGACCCGGGAAATATATTTTCATTGAAGATTTTCAAACGATTTTTCTAAAAGGGTATATCAAGGGACCATCTGAAGAGGTTATATACAGAAGAGTATATTTACCGTAGATTTCGCGATCTAAATAGTTTTCTATGACATATAAGCGTTATATAGAAGACGTGGACGAATTTTAATAAAAATAGCGAATATGTTTAGTCTTAACACCGCAAGGTCTTGTCTTTAAGGGTAAAAATGTTTTGCCTTGAAATACCCAAAATTTTTTCTTTTAGAAAATCGAACAACTAATCTTGAAAAGGCTTCTAATAGTAGCTCAAAAAAATATTTTTATAGATACCTAAGAACCTAATATTTTTTTATTATTCGCATTTTATAGTCCAATATTTTTTTTCTCAAAAAATTCCCCCTAATAACCCGAAGAAAGCTCAACTTACCTTTGTCGGATCCTGATGTGAATAACCCGATGAACGTGATGAATTACGTTTAAAAATATTCGTATGCTTGACGTCATCCTCTTCGGGTTCATTATGATGGTGTATCTCCGAGCCGTCAGCATCCAAAGTAGTCCATTTGTAGACAACTCGTACGGGATTAATAGGATCGTTGGTACTGAAATCTTTACGCACAGTTTCACCCGCTCGTGCAAAACGCAGTTGAGCTCTTACCGTCCATTCAGCAGTCAACTCGTGGGGCATAGGTGGTGGTTGTTGCATCCGTGTGCCTTGAGGTTGGGGATGATTTTGTCGAAAATCTTGATTTGTAATACCTGCACCAGCTTCGGTTTGTTTATCGGCATTATATTGGGATTTCGACGATGAAGGATTAGGTGGGGGTTTGTCATCCATAGTTGGGAAATTATTTTTCGAAGGTAATTTTTTAGTATTTGTTTTTGGTGTAGGGGTATCGGTTGAGGATTAGTGTTTGTTCTTTGCTTTGTTGCTGACCACCAACAGCGGCATTATTGCTTTACTTTCGCCAGTTATTTCTTTATCACCAACATTTATCAATTGCTTACATGTTTGTTTTCTTTTCTTTTAGTTTCGTATTTATTTTCTTCACTTCCCACACATTTTCTTTTTCTTTGGATTATCACACACTTTTAGTCAATCACCAGTTTTTTGGTTGTTCGTATTTTTTTTTTTTTTTAGAGCACTTGAATAATTAAAATTTTCGATTTTTTCAAAATTTTATTTTATTTTGTTTCACATTTTAATGATGTTAAATTTAGAAAAATATGTATTTAAATTTCTTTCAATTTTGTTGTTGTTGGTTTTGTTTATTTAACTTGCCCCCAGAGATTGTTTTAGTTTGACGCGAAAGTTAACAAAAATATGCAGGTGTTGCTGCCTGAATTTTGAGGTATGAAATTGCTTTTTGCATATTTTTTTAAACAAAATTTGTGTTAACTTTTTTTATTATTTTAATTAGGAAATGAGGTGAGATTATTCATTGGCAGAAATGACTAAGAATTTGTTAGGAAAAAAATATATGTTTTTTTATTTAATAATTTTATTTAATAATAATTGGAATTTTTAGTTTTTTCGTTCAAATTGGGCTGAAATTTTATGGCGTATGATTAATATTAAATGAAAAATAATATTTTGTTATATTACTAATACGCCACCAGGTGAGTGAAAATCGTGGCTGACTATAGCTTTTAACAATTTGGTTATGCAAAAAATATTGAAAAGAAAAGCAATTAACTGGGCCTTTTAATAACCCTAAAACTGATTACATCTTTATATATCGAAAAACAGAAGGAAATTTCTAAAAAAACGTCTGTAAGGACTCTCTCTAGAGAATCTGTAGAGTCATACTGTAGGTCTTCTATTCATATTCTTACAGAAAATCTGAAGGGCCTGAAGAAAACCCATTTCATATGGGAGATCTAGAAAAAGTATGTTCGTGGAAGGTTTGGTATTTTAAGTTTTTTTGACGTATGATTAATATTAATCGAGAATAATAGTTTGTTATATTACTAATACGCCACCAGTGGAAATCGTGGCCAAGGGGCAGCCTATTAACAATTTGGTTATGCAAAATATCTTGAAACGAAGGACATTCAACTGGGCCTTTCAATAACCCTAAAACCGATTATATCTTTATATCTCTCTAGAGAATCTGTAGAGTCATACTGTAGGTCTTCTATTCATATTGTTACAGAAAATTTGAAGGGCCTGAAGAAAACCCATAGGACCTGAAAGGATTCCATATGGGAGATCTAGAAAAAGTTTGTCCATGGAAAATTTGGTATTTTTAGTTTTTTTTTTTCGTTTCAATTAGTCTGACATTCCATATACGGTTTGTTTGACGTATGATTAATTTTAATAGGAAATAATATTTTGTTATATTACTAATACGCCACCATATGGATGAAAATCGTGGCCATAGTGCAGCCTCTTAACAATTTGGCTATTTGGCTGAAACAAAGGACAATCAACTTGGCCATATCCCTAAAACCGATTATTTATTCACATATCTAGAGAGTCTGTAGAGTCTTACTATAGGGTATTCTATTCATTTTTCAGCAGAAAATCTGAAGGGCCCGAAAAAAACCTATAGGACCTAAAGGGAATTCATATGGATGACCGGGAAAAAGTATTTCCATTGAAGATTTGAAATTTGTATTTTTTTGGTTCAAATTAAACTGACATTCAATACACGATTAGTTTGACGTATGATTAATATTAATTGAAAATATTATTTTATTATATTATTAATACGCCACCAGTTCTCTGACAATCGAAGAAGTAGGGCAACCACTTAATAATTTGGATGTGCAAAATATATTGAAACTAAAATGATTTTAATGTCGTGGTTGGCTGACTATTTGGCTGATATTGCATATACATGTGTATCAAATATTCGATATCAATATTTATCCCATCATAAATGCATTTTTATTTCAATATCAAAAATAAACCATTTATTGTCTCTAACAGGTGTTAATTTCTAACTGCTAATCATTTTATGGTTCTGAATATCCGCTAATTTGAAAATTAGCTCCCAATGCAATTATAAGGAATGTGAGGCGTATAATTAATATTAATTGCAACGTATAATTAATATGTTACTTATACGCTAACACGGGGTCAATTTCTAACTGTTAATATTTTTTAAGTATTTTTTTTTATTATTTGCTAATTTGAAAATTAGCTCACATTTCAATTGTAGGGAAAATGAGGCGTATGATTAATATTAATTATCTCGGATAATAAACATATTATTTTGATTTATTACTGTTTTTTATATTAGACCCCTTTCATTTGTGAGGAATATAAGGCGTATGATTATTATAAATTATAACGTATAATTAATAACTTATACGCTAATATGATAGATGAACCGAATAATTGTGATTTATTATTTTATAACTTTTATAACAACTTTATAAAATAATAAAAAAATATATATTTAAATAAATCCCTTTCTTCATAAGAAATGTGTCTTATTTTTTTTCTTTCTATTGCTAAAAATCTAATTAAATGCCCAATTAAAAAAATAATCCTCATGTTTATATTTTAAAATTTAGCAATGAAATGAAAATGACGGTACAACCAACAGACATATAGTCGGACGTTATTGTGTCACAATAACGGCGGCGGCGGCGATGAACGAAAAATATTTGTGCTATAAATGATCAAGGTGTTTTCTAATTTCAAACAAAGCAACCATTAAAATTTAAAATTTTGAATTAAAATTAAATTAAAAAAAGAAATACACAAGCAGAAAATTGAAGACGTCGAATATATGAAATCGACGTCGTCACCAAGTTAATATTACATATACATATGTATATGTATGTATTTGCTGCATGTGTGCTTGAAACAAAAATATTGAAATAAAAAGTGAAAATTTATAACATTCGCACATAATAAATAAACAAGAAGAAAATTTTGAAGAAGTGGCAAAAGCAACAACAGCAACTACAACAAAATTATGTCGTCAAGAAAAAGAAAATTAAGTATTTTCACATGACCACCGCAGCAGCAACAGGCCGCGATCATAAAGTGCGAAATATGTATGTTTGTTGCCGATTGAATAAGGACTGTTCTGAGCAACAGAAAAAAAATTAAAAGAAAACTTTTCGAAAATACACCTTTTTTTAAATGCTTCAACATGAAAAAAATTAACAACAATGTGCGGAAAATGTGTTCATAAGATACAATTTTAATTACTCAGGGGTAAATCTACGTTTTTACCGCGAAAAATAATTAATTGGGAAACACCTTGATTCAAAAGTCTTAGCATTTCAAAATAGATGGAAGTTTTCGTTCTCAGCAGTAAAGAAAATTAGATCGTAAGGTAGGAATTTTGAAAAATATGAGGACCACATATGGCGTATAACGAATACAGAACTCATACGTTTTAATTAATGTTAACAATAAAAAAAATTCACCATAAATATTCACAATAAAAAAATATTCACCATTTTAAAACGGATTTACTTTTGATAATTTTGGGATTTATTTTTAAATCTAATCGTATATAACTTTTTATTTGCTATTAAGTTTGTTAAACAAAAAATCATATATTTTTTAATATCCTGTGTGGCGTATTATTATCATTAATTAGAACGTATGAGTATTATATTAATTATACGCCAACTAAACAATTTGGGGTGTGTTTTTAATTTATGACCGACATTTTTTTGATTTGAATGATAAAAAATATTTTTTTCACGGATGTTATATATATGAATGGGATTATAATTAGGGTTATTTTTAATGCTCTACACAAATTTGAATTTTGATTTTTTTACCATTACAAGAGTTGCATTAAAAAAGGTATTTTAATGAAAATGACAGGAGTAGTAGACTGGCTGAAATTAGATAATTCACAAATGACATTGAACTTCATTTTTCATAAAGACTTCGGTCTTAAGCCTTTAATCTTCAGTAATTACAAGAACTCAATCCCCCAATATAAAGAATATCGTGTTGGTTCTCATCAAGTCCTTGAAATGCATGAAAATGATCCGGATATCATTCGACAAATTATCGTGACTGTAAGGTCCATTTTCAAGAAAAATTGGATGATCTGATTGGAAAAAGTAAGACTTATTGTACGAAGATTTTCTGTGAGATTCCAAAATATAAAATTAGAGATAATCTCCACAACACAGAATAGTGAGGGTACGGTTATATGGGGCCTACCCAAACCGATATATTGAGGTCCCTATATGAAAAATACAGCCATCTCGATTCTAAAATACCTCAAATTAGTCGTCTAAAATCCTATTTTATTTTGAATATAAGTTAAACATGTAAAAAAGTGTTGGTCGGTGTTGCCGACAGATATATACCCTGGTTTGCGGAAGTCTTCAGAATTACACACAGGTTTTTTATTTGCTTTATATAAGGTATATGTTCTTACAAAAGAGGTTTGGGATTTAATGTTGGTCAACAGGGTTATTCTATTAGCTTCAAATTTACAAGTTCATAAAATATTGACCCTTTGGAGGTGAGGTGACGGCCCTTAGGACTTTACCTAGGCTTGGTAAAGATAATAGGTTGTGCAAAGTTTTCTTCAAATCGTATAATTCGTTCACATCCTGATATTATAAAATAAATTTTTTGCACAATTTTGAAAATTTTGTGGGTAAGCAACCAGAAGGAGTGGACCGAAATTCCCGTCTTCGTTCGAACATGGACTAAGTTTTGAGAAAATACTATGATGTGCAAAGTTTGGATGAAATCGGTTATGGACATTTGTCAATCGACTCCAAATTATTTGAAACGAATTTAGTACAAAAAACATGGGGTATAAAACCGTTATTTCGATGACGCCCATTTTTAGCGTATCATAAGGCTGAGGTATAAAAATTGAGCCGGATGTATTATTT